AGAGAGAGAGAGAGAGAGAGAGAGAGAGAGAGAGACCTCTTCTTCTTTTTACATTACAATTCAAACTAGCTGATGTGCCTAGTGTATATTTAAAAACATCACTTCCTCTAGTGGTGAGATCAGTTTGCTTGTCATAGCACATGCCTTTCCTCACTCCTCCATCTTGCCTTTAACATGTTTTGTTTTGTGTGAGGTACTGGAAGATACACAAAACTTGCTTTGTAACAGTGATTGCTGGGACATGTATCTCTGAGGAAACATCTTCACTGAAAGGTGGCAGAAACCATTATTGCAGGGAATACACATTCCCATTAATGTCTAGTTTGATCCTTCCTTCATGTTCACTTTGGGTTGGGAAATGTTGATTTCACTAAGACTTCTTACTCCCTGGAGAAAAAACAAAACAGATTCTCCTATTGGTAGGTTGTTTTATAAAGTTTTGTGGAGTTTTATGAAGTCAATGATTTTAGGATCAAATTGCCCAGCTTTTGAATTGCCCACCCTCAATTGAACATCTCCAAATCCTTCCACAGAATAAATACAAGAGAGATGACAAATCTCTGGGAACTCAGGCAGAAGAGTCTTCCCCATTACCTGCTTCATTACCTTTTTAACAAGATATGCCAACCTGGCTATTTCCATATGCGAAGCCTGCTCTCTGCCACTGAATGATGGTCTTCCCTTCCATGTTTCAGAGATATCACAAGTGGAATGGTCCATTTACATGATTCTCAAACAAACCATTTTCATCACAGGGGACAGACCCCGAATCCAAAACCATGATAACTATAATGGTACTTTCTCAGAGGCTAAGTACATTCCCTAGTGAAGTCAATTATTCTTCAATCGCACAAACAACCATCATGTTAGTATTACTGAATGGGCATTTCTTTGGCACAACGCCTTGATGCCCACTGAGAAATCAGTTGTGCAAATGCAGAATCCGGTGTAACTGTGCTGGCATATATTTACATGGCACTAAAGCAAGCATGGTGTAATGGTTTGAGCATTGGACTATGACTCTGGAGACCAGAGTCATGAGAACCAATGTGGCATAGCGGTTTTGGTGTTGGACTCGGACTCTGGAGGCCAGGGTTGGAATCCCTCCTCGGCCATGGAAACTCACTGGGTGACCTTGGGCAAGTCATATTCACTCAGCATCAGGGGACTATGAAGACAAATCTTACCAAGAAACTCCCATGAGAGTTTGCCTTAGGGTCATCATGAGTCAGAAATGACTTGAAGGCACACATAAATATCAACCATGTCTAAACTCTTAAAGAAACATGCAAACTTATAGGCATGGAAGCTACTACATTTAACATTCCTATGGCTGATGACTGGCCACAGGATGAAGGAAATGCACCTGGGAGCTTTGGATTGTCCTTGTGCAATGACAAAAATGCATTGCACAAGGAGGCACAACTTACCTCCCTTTGCAATGTCTTTAAAAGTAAATATACTGGCATAACCAGGGTGACACCAGCATATGGCTGACACAGGATTCTTGTCCAATTTGGAACTGATCTCTCCCTTAAGTAGCAATCCACCAACAAGAATTTTGCTGGTTTTGGAAAGAGGGGAAAATGCATACCCATTGACCCACTATGCTTTAAGAGCCAGTAGCTCACCAGTTGTCCTTTGCCACAGCTTTGCTACTATTACAATGGAAAAATCCACTCATACCGTGGATTTCCCCACCTGCAAAGTGAGCTTTAAAAATAAAAGAGGAAGGGGCAGATCTTCTTTGCCGAATATCTCTAGGAGAGGAATCCCAACAAGAAGGAGGGGGGAAGTTCTATTTCTGGGATGACCTTAATTCAGAAGCTACTGTGGGTTGCCTTGTCAGTGACCTCAACAAGCAGAGCAACAGCCCTCCATGAAAAAAGCAGCACCAGAGAGAAGACGCAGCTGGATCCTTCTCACTTTAGAATGCACCGCGGTTCCTTTATTTATTGCAAATGAGTCATAAAAGACTTCTGGCAATGCCCACCATGTTTATCTAATTGGGATCAGATTAGAGGCATAGCGTACAGAGGAGAATGGAAAATCTATGTCAGATAGCGGCTGTTCTTCAGTCCTGCTGTTCATGCACAAGATTGGGGAAAGTATTGGCCTTTGCAGACTGCTAGAAATAGTGCAAATTGAGTCCACTTTTAGGGTTAGGGTTAGGGTTAAGGAATCATAGGAAATGTATTTTATTGTAGCACCAGAACTCTCTGACAGAGAAGGCTCAATGTCTCAGAAAAAAACAACAACCCCATGATCCCCTAACACTAACCCTAATCCTTAAAGTGGACTCAATTTGCACTATTTCTGGCAGTCTGCAAAGGCCCTAACTGTGGACAGTTATGATGACTCCCTTCTTTGCAAGCCTACCATGCTTCCAATTTGTCCAGAGTTCATATTTCCTACTCCACAGGGATCTCTGGGGTATTTTTCAATGTTCCTTGGGGGGGATAGTGCAGCATTTTCTTTTTTTAAAAAAAATGGACAGTTTCTGCGAACTGTCACATTTGTGTGGGTTCCCAAGAGGGGGTCACGGATTCCATGATCCAAAACAGTCACTGAGTAACTACATCCTCAGTGGCCATTTTCCAAAGGCTTTTTTGCCCTTGTTCAGAGAAAACTAGCCCTAGAAGAGAGATAGGGTGATCTGCCTGGACTTCGAAACATTTCTGCATGTTTGGATGGGCAGCAGGTAATTCTATCATGACCCACTGAATTCCGCTTCTGTCCAAGACACATCTGGAGAGCCTCCTTCTTTCAAATGATCAGCAGCAGCTGAAGAATATGCATAGAAACCTGACTCACAGATGGTTTGAAGGCCAGCTGTGGCTATATGAGTGGGATTGATCTTGGGGACTGGAACTCCCTGCCAGCTTTTTTTTAATTGCCTTTCAGCAGCCCTGAGAGGCTTTCCAAAGTCTCCACCCTTTGAACAACCAACGTGGCAGCCAATCCCATTAGGCCATTTGCACAAGATATATACATTTCTCAAGTCGGGCTTTGCAGGAGTTCTGGGGAAAGCATTTCACCCCTTTTGCAATTTTGGAACAAGGCTGGGTTCCATGGGGAAACAACTAACAAACAAACAACCCAAGAAAAATATTATGTGTCTCCAAGGCATTTTTTTACTCAGTTCCCTGCCTCTCATGCCACTCAGCTGGAACATACTTGAATCTGTGCAGAATCACTTGCAAATCATCACTCAGTATTTGAAAGACCCCATTGCAGCCAACGGAGAGCCAGCATGGCATAGTAGTTTGAGTGTTGGAAACCCACAAGAAAACTTTGGATAAGTCACATGCTCTCAGCCTCAGAGGAAAGCAGTGGCAAACCTCCTCTAAACAGATCTTGCCATGAAAACCCTATGATAGGGTCTCCTTAGGGTCACCATAAGTTGTAAATGACTTGAAGGCATGCAACAACAACATAGTGACCAACATCAATTAAAAATGCACTCAGATTGCTTTTGTTGTTGTTTTTGTATGCCTTCAAGTCATTTCTGACTTATGGCGAAGTGACTACGGAATTTTTTTGGCAAAGTTTGTTAAGAAGGACTTTTCCTTTGCCTTTCTCTGAGGCTGAGAGAGTGTGACATTCCCATGGTCACCCAGTGAGTTTACATGCCTGAGCTGGGATTTGAACCCTGATTTCCAGAATTGTGGTACAATGCTCAAACCACTGCATCACGCTGGATCTCTAATTAGATTGCATGAATAAAATTAACAGAGAGAGAGAGAGAGAAGAATTCAGGCATTTGGTGACAAAGCTTCAGAGAAATGTCTGTGGTAATGAATTTGTGGTTTTTAAAGATGTCACTGAGAGCTAGTGTGGTGTAGTGGCTTGCATGTTGGACTAGAACAGTGGAAGACTGGGGTTCGGATCCCCACTTGGCCATGGAACCCTTCCCAAGGCAAGGAGGAAAGTGATTGATGCAAGGAAACACAGCTAATGGTATTTGGACTTGGTGAGCACTGAAGGGTTGAGCCAAAGGCTTTTGGAGATGAAAAATAAGAGGCATGCTTCAATGTGTTATCATCCACCCAACAACACCTTTGTGTGTCCACTGGAGGGGGGGGAATCATGCCTTGGATCATCTGGAAACAGCTAAGCAACACGCCGCCTCTACCATGCACCATATCTGCTGAAGTTCTGCTGAGGCTGTTTCTTATAGAAGATTAATAAAGAAGACATAAGGAAGGGCATACTTGGAGCATCTGAGTTGAATTAAGATTTATGTCTTAGATATGCAAGCCCTTCCACAACATATGTGCTATGATCCTTTTCCCAAAGTCAAGAGGGCTCTTTGGTTTTGGATTTATACCTTTTAGCTGGATGCAATTGTAGTGTGTGGGAATTCAGTTTGTTTTTCACCTGACAGCCTCATTCAGAAGTAGCCACTTCCAATATCTAATATTAGATAGGCCTCCCAAGGGGATTTATTATTATTATTATTATTATTATTATTATTATTATTATTATTATTATTTTGTAAAGAAGGATAGCATTCTGTTTGGGGCTTACATCCTTGTAAGTGGCCTTTGTTGTTGTTATGTGCCTTCAAGTCATTTCTGACTTATATCAACCCTAAGGCTTTCCTCTGAGTTTGCTTGGCAAGATTTGCTCAGGGGAGGTTTGCCATTGCCATCCCCTGAGGCTGAGAGCATGTGACTTGCCCAAGGTCACTTGCTTTTTAGAAATCGGAATGCTTTCTGGCTTCTGAAAAGTGCTGGTTGAGCCCGGCTGAGATCCAGGCTGATGGCAGCTGATGATTTAGCATGCGATAATCCCCACTTCCATCTTGCCTCCCGGCTGCAGCCCAGGCAGCTTAATTTGATTTAAAATGCCAAGCAATAAGCTCCAGCCTCTCTGACTGAAGTCTATCCATCTGGCATGTGCTCTTTCTCTCTTTCTCCTACCCTCTACCTTTCCTAACATCATTGTCTTTTCTAATGAATCCTGTCATCTCATGATCTGGCCAAAGTACAACAGCCTCAGTTTGATCATCTTGGTTTCCAAGGAGGTTTCAGGCTTGATCCATTTGTTGGCCTTTTGAGCCGTCCATGAGCCGCTTCAGCTCTCTTCTCCAGCACCACTTCTCTCTCTGCTTTCTTTACTGTCCAGCTCTCACATCCATGCATGGTGGTGGGTAATACAATGGCTTGGAAGATCTTCACTTTAGTTGTATATCTTTACTCTTTAGGACCTTGTCTAGTACTTTCATTACTGCCCTTCCATTCCAAGTCATTTTCTTATTTCTTGACTGCAGTCACCATTCTGATCTATGTTTGATCTCAGGTAAGGAAGCTCCTTAACTATTTTGATTTCCTCATTGTCTCGGTTGAATTTATGTATTACGGATTCAAAAAATTACAAAACAGACTGTGAGGTAGAATCCTGGCCAATATTAATATATTGTTTTCCAAGAAAAAGTTCTTAAGGCGGTTTCTGTAGGAATTCAGAACAATATTCAACATAACTTTAAACAAAACAACAACATAGATAGAAGAACTTCATTTTGAAAGGGGGGAGGAGTGGATCTAGTGACATGCTTAACATTATATGTTTTCTTTTGGTATGAACTTTTGTGGATTTTGATCCACTTCTTCACAAGCTTTGATGGACTACAACATTCCAGCAGTAGGTATTATTAAAGGAAGATTACATATTGATTTCAGGAATGATATCACGGTGCACAAAGTTGTTGCTTATTATGTGTGTTCAAGTTGTTTCCAATTTATGGCAACCCTAAGGTGAAAAAATGGGTTTTCTTGGCAAGATTTGTTCAGAGGAGTTTTACCATTGCCTTCCTCTGATGTGACTTGCCCAAAGTCACCCAGTGGATTTCATGGCAAGTGGGGAATTGAACCCTAGTTTCCAGAGTCATAGTTAACACTCAAACCACTACACCACACTGAGCAAGGTAGCTGTACTTAAATATCTGTGAATCAACTGGAATCTTTACTCCATCAACTCATCTGAAGAAGTCACTGGATATTGAGTTCAATAGGCACTGAATATTGAGCTTGAAGGTGCCATACCATTTGCTCTGTCCTAAGCTGTTGGACAAAGAAGAGAGGGCTGATCTCAAATAAACTCCCAATTCCTA